AAAAAAAAAGCAAGCGGATTATGCGTGCAAGCTCGAATAGTTTCCAGCCGTTGTCACTCTAAAAAGTTCGCTCAGCGGGTTTTTTAGAGTTTTAATCACATTTTCAGTTTTTTTCGATATCTCAATCAGTTGCCTGTTGAAGACAAATACTGCTTATCACTTTTATTACTCAGCCTCTCAGTCTCTGCAAAATGACCTCATCCTTCCGAACATGTAAATTTCTAAACACCTTAGTAAATATTTTTCAGTTTTTCAAAGCATACTTACATTATTACTTCAATCAACTGCAATTCATAGTGCGGTTTTCCACTAACAACTATTTTAGCTGCTTTCGCCGTCGCTGCGCTGTCTGATGGCCAGCCTGACGGTTATTTCATCTTCTGAAGAAATTATTAGGTTAGTGATTCATCGAGCAAAACCACTTGGCAAGACTTTAACTGTTTCGATTGGCTTGTGTTGAGGGCATCATAATCATTACTGCTCCTAGACCACGGTACAATATTTACCAAGCGGAAAAAATAGAAAGTAAGATGTGAATTTTATTTTATTGAAATCTTGATTGAGGTATAAAAGTTGCAATTATGGAATTTGCCAGAATTTATTATTAAGTGTTAATTATTAATTTCATAACTGCATTCATTTTGTCACGATCTGATTTAGTTCTTCAAAGCAAAACAAATTTAGAAAGCTGATTTTAGAAATCTATTCGCCTGTGTAGGGAAACAGTGAAAAGTCTAGTCAGTATCTTATATCTTTCTCTCACCTCTTTTTAGTTACTAAAATTAGGATTCATTATGGAAAAAATGCAGTCTGATTAAATATGTTAAAGCACAAGAAGTGTGAGTTCGTGGAGCTTGCCTTTGTCAATTAAAATTCAAGAAGCCGTCGTACTGATGAGATCTAGCTGTGGTACCAAAATGAAATGTATGCTGTTTCGTAGAACGAAACATTCCTCCTTATATCAATTTCCCCATTCCTTTCCTTAATAAGTGTCTTCTTTTTCTATTTTTATTAAGATCCTGTAACCTTCCTTTCTGCAAAAATTTTTTAACTGTTTCATTGTTTTCTCTACTAATAAGGCCGCTTTCTTCTAAATGAAAATCGATTTTAAGCTATTAGTGACGCACTTCGCGCAAAAGACGTCATTGTCTCAGTGCAATTGCACTGTTTTTATCAGACTCCGATTGCTCTGTTCCACTGTTAGCTGATGAAACAGAGCAATCGGAGACTGATAAAAACAGTGCAGGTGCACTCCGACGATGAAAATCATACAGCTTGCGAAATGCACTCTTCCAGTTCTCCTCAATTAATCTGTAAAACGCATCCTGTCAATAAAAGGGCAGCTGATCTCTGGTAAACTACCCAGCGAACGGCTGCGATTCTTGGTTGCTGAGCCGTCCAATCTGGGCGGAGGGGGGATGGGGGCGAACAGGCACATCCAGTCCGGCAAAAATGATATAGAGGAGCAGCGATCTATTTCACATGTACCGTTGATCGTTTTTATTGCAGAAGGCCGTTCATGGAACACATCTGAGATGACACAACTGCAGTATCAGCTAGCACTAAATGCAGCTGCACAAGGCCTTCTCGCATCACAGACATCCAGCTTGGCACAAAGTATCCATCAACAGCAGCAGGTACTGCCATCTTTCCTGAACCCAACTTCCACCATCCCCTCTCTTGTGCGGGTGGAAACTTTTTGTCGACGCATATACGTTTCTCAATATCTTTGCAACCTCCGCAATCGGGCGCTTTTGGCGATTTCTGTTAAAGCCATTTATCGGGCGCTTTTGGCGATTTCTGTTAAAGCCAGACATTTTTTTTTTCTCCTCAGAAGCAAGACAAAAACATGTACACATTTCAGTTTATTAGTTGAATCCCAAAAAACACAATAAGTTAACAGAACACAGGATTCTAGACTACTTTAGTTCCATGCCCATATTCAAAAAATGCCGAAATTTTGCGTCGCTGTCTTTATAACTTCCTATTTGTAGATATAAAGCTAAAATTTCTATGATGAGGCGTATCTTTTGCCTTAACGGGAAATTGCATATCTAAATTTACCAGAATAAATTTCTACGTTCTATTTTTTCAAGACTTTTGGGAGAAGGCACGAGATTTGATGGCATTTAAACGGAGAAGGCACAAAGATGAAACTTTATAAAGCTTGTCTGAAACACGGGCAGCAATGAATTAGGCTTGCCGGTGCAGTCATACGTTTTTATGCGAAGACTGAAGCAGTCAGATAGTTAGCAGTATGAATGGTTGCTGCTTTACAGTTTAACTTGTAGACTACTTTTGGCTGTGCCTTCACTTTTTCTTGCATGCAGCAATGGTAGTGTTACTGAAACGGTAGTGTTACATCACGGGACAGCGTGAAATCTTAACGTCAAGAACGCACAACTACAGCAAATTTACTCAGTGACCGGTAGGATGCCAAATGAGTTGCTGAGTCGAAGAGGACTGACAAAGTTCACTCGCCTCTGAACACACACACACACACACACACATCTCGGCAGTACGCGCTTTCTGCATTTGCGTTAGGTGCAAAAATGCATGAAAATAATTTTAACATAAAATTGCTATTCCCATCAGTTCAGCATCTCCATTTAAAACTACATGCTCAACACCAGCCAACTTATTATGCCGAAGAACAAAGTTAGATTCACAGCCAGGAAATGAGCCTACTTGAAACATGATAGCCGCTTCGTTCGCTCAAAGAAAATCTGCTTAATTGGGCTTTCGAAAATGCTGCAAGGTACAAGATATCTGCTAATCCGATTCAACATTATCAGATGTTACGATGTGCTGCAGTGATGGGCCAGCAGACAAATAAAGCCTCGAATAGCATGCCATTACCTCTTGCACAAATACCAGTCGATCCAACGCCATCCCATTCAGAACTCTCATCATCCAGGCCACCACGAACTTTAGCACAGGTAACCATTCTGCTCGCTGTTACGCTTTGCTCTAGGGAAATTAAAAAAAAAAAAGTAGGCGGTGAAATGCTAACAAAGTCAGGAAATTTTCAAAGGGGACATTTCCTCGAAATTGGCTGAGGGATAGAAATGCTTTTATCTGGCCCATTCAGCTTCATTCTTCAGTGATATCTGTTCTCTATTTGTAATATCCGGCCCTGCATGATCCAGCGATTGCAAATTAGTATTGCCGCACACCAGGGAATCGCTTCCAAGTAACTTTTGAAGAGGGAATTCATCGCCAACTTTGCCAGCAGCGGTTACTGCTGGCAGTTTGCTACTATTCGGGCTACTTTCGAACGCCTTCCTTTCCCACAAAGAGTGTAGTGCAGGATAGTTATGAATTCTGCCATTGATGCTTTTTTAGCATGGCTTTCATCCTGTTTCACTAGAATTTACAGATGAGTGTCATAATATTGTAACCTCAGGTGCCACCATTATCACTGAGCGCAACAGCAGCGCAGAACATATCATTACAGCCGACATCATTATCATCACTAGCAACAGCTACGGCAATATCGCAAGGTTCCAATGAACGGCAGGCAGGCTTCTTTCCTCCTGCGTCGAAATCGGCTCCTGATGATCTGTTGAGTGATTCACTTTTTGGTGCAAGTGAAATGCACTACAACGAAGCATTCCACAGTTCCGTAAGGTGATTTTTGAATGATTTTGTCAGTCCTCGTTGCTGCAGTGTCTTCAGCATACTCCTCTTTTTTGTGACTCCCCGTGGCCTAAACCAGCACTTATATTCTTTCTGTATACCATCTACCTCTATCCCTAACTCGCCATACTAGATAGGGAGAGAGGGGCAGTATCAAAATTATTCGAGTCCCCCTCGTCACC